GTTTGAACTTTGCAAATGAACATATAGACAAGCCTGATGCATTTTGGAAACAAGTTCTGTGGACTGATGAGGTTAAAATTGAACTTTATGGCTGGAATGAGCAAAGGTATGTTTGGAGAAGAAGGGGCACAGAATTTAATGAAAAGAACCTCTGTCCAACTGTTAAGCATGGGGTTGGATCAATCATGCTTTGGGGTTGTGTTGCAGCCAGTGGCACAGGGAACATCTCACGAGTAGAAGGAAAAATGGATTCAATAAAATTTCAGCAAATTTTGGATGGTAACTTGATGCCATCTGTGAAAAAGCTGAAGTTAAAGAGAGGATGGCTTCTACAAATGGATAATGATCCTAAACACACCTCGAAATCCACGGGGGATTACATCAAGAGGCATAAACTGAAGGTTTTGCCATGGCCTTCACAATCTCCTGACCTCAACATAATTGAAAATCTATGGATAGACCTTAAAAGAGCAGTGCGTGACAGACAGCCCAGAAATCTCAAAGAACTCGAAGACTTTTGTAAGGAAGAATGGGCAAAGATACCTCAAACAAGAATTGAAAGACTCTTGGCTGGCTACAAAAAGCGTTTACAAGCTGTGTGTCAGGGATCTCCTCGATCCCTGCCGCGATGGTCCCGGCAGGCGCACCGCCCTGTGCAGGGACACGGACACTAGGTCTGGGCTGGCCGCGGCGTTCGAGTTCGCGCATGCGCAGTAGAAGCCGCGGCCGCCCGCTGGGCACCAATGGCAGCGCAGGGCGGGATATTTAAATGGCCCTGAGCTGTCATTCAGTGCCTTCTGGTCTTCCCTGCATCCTGTGAACCCGTGAACCTGTACCTTTGTAAGTTTTTGACCCGTATTGTACCTGACCTTGCTGCTTTCTCCTATTCTGACCCTTGCTTTGCCTGACCTCTCTCTTGAATCTCTCTCTCTGGCGTGTGACCCGACCATTCTATGCCCGCTGCCTTGTACCTTGCCGTCCTCTCTGTTACCGACCCGGCCCGTCTGACCTTGCTCATCCATCCATCCATCCCTCTCAGTGGGGTCTTCTGACCTCCTCACATCAGACTCTTCCCCGTGGGAGCCCTTGGCGCATACCACTACCACTGACGGACGCACCCAGTAGCCACGACCTGGTCTCGGGGGGCTCCAAGTCCATCCCCACCATCAGGGGCCCTGGTGAACAAGCACCCTGGGACTTAGATTCCGTGCGCTGGGGACGCCTATTCAGTGGAGTGCTAGTGGTACCGCCAGGCGGTCCCTTACAGTGTGATACTTGCCAAAGGGGGCAGTACAAGATATTAACTCTGCAGGGTGCCCAAACTTTTGCAGACGCCATTTTTTTGTTTTCTGTTATCTTGAAAGTGTAAATGATGGAAATAAAATCTAACTTTTGTTGACATATTATAAGAATGTCTAATCTGTAATTTGATGCCTTTTGGAGATTTTTCCATCTTTCCTTGGCTTCTTTATGCACATTAATACAAATTTTTAGCTGGGGTGCCCAAACTTTCGATCCCCACTGTATGTGCATCCAAAAATGCTAACAAAGCTTGGAAAAACTAGTACTACTATGATTACTATTTTAGGTACCCCACAGCTTAGCTGTGTATGTTTGTGCAGCCCTCTAGTGTAGATAGTTATTTAGTGTAGCTGGAGGCTTGTTAGAAGCCTGGGAGTGAGACAGAGGGTTTACTTCAGGTCAGTCCTCTGGTGCTTCCCCCTGCTTTAGAAGCTTGGAGAAGCTTCTAGAAGTCAATAGGCGGAAGCTAGGAGAAGCTGATCTTCATATTTATGGGAGTCTGACCAATCCCAGGCAGGAAGCCTGGCAGTGTGGCAGACTGGCCCATAAATAGGACAGAGCCTGGCCAGCAGGGGAGTTAGGTGGAAGATGGATGGCTGAGATGCTGCTGTGTAGCCTTGGAGGTGGCTCTGGAGAAGGGGGGTTCTACCTCCAAGCTGGAGGTTGGAAGAAGGAGGAAGGCTGAATGAGGGAGCTCCACTGTCCCGCAGTCTACCGGGGAAGGACAGCCTACATAGCCTGGAAAAGAACCAGCCCAGCAGAAGGCCAGAAAGCAGTTCTATTCATAGCTGCAGGACAAGGGCAGTGTGAGTACGTCTACACCCCCAGGGCCTAGAAGGGAGAAGTCTGTTAGATGCAAGTTTCTTGGCAAGTCTTCAGGGAACAGTCTATTGCTTACCCAATCCCTTGTCCTGGGATCAGATACCGTAGCCAGGTGGACTAGTATTTGTTCGCTTCTACAAGTTGTCACTTTGCTGAAAATCTACTCAGGGGAGACTGAATTCCTAGGAGGGGATTCATTTCCTAAAAACGGTTGTGGTTCTGGCTGGAACACAGTCAAATGTCTGTCATTTTGCAGTGTGCTAGAAATGGAAACTGTCCCCATTTTGTTATTCTCCAAATCAAGTTGGGCATCCCATAACCCTTTTACTCTATCCAAGTTGAATTCCCTAAAAAATCCTAAAAAACTAAGCTCATGGACTGTTTCTCTGTGTCTGGATACAACTTGGAAAATGCGTTCTACCTGGTTGTGCAGGAAAATTGGGGGACCCAACAGCTCTCAAGGGAGTAGTGTTACATTTGGACACTGGAGCATGTATTCTTTAGCAAAGCACCCTTGTAAATAAATTCAGCATATGTTCACTGTAGCTTGAGCATGAATACATTTTACATGCTTATGTTAGTAAATGTGGCTCATTGTATTCAAAATGATCCATTGACAACAATGGCTATTACTGCGAGTGATGTGAAAAAGTAATTAATGCTTCATTTTGGGTGCATTGACCTGCATTTTATTAGTCACGTCAGTCAAATGAAACCTGGTCTACATTGTCTAACTCAAATTCCAAACGCTGTGCTCTAGACCTTTTCAAAATGTTTCCTGAAAGCATTTTCCATGTCCATGAACAAAAGCTCTGTCGTCATAAACTGCAGACTAAATTTGAAGCCCAGATGCACTATATGTTGTATTATATAAACATATTGAGGGTTATCTACTAAACTTGGAGAGTGCAGTTTACTGAGGAGGGAGTGGAGCCTCACCCTGTGCAGCCAAGGCAAGCATGGGAGGAGGAGGGGTTGGCCATCTGGGTACTCAGAGCCATGCTGCTGCTTCCTCTGAGGAGTTTGTTGTCTTTCCCTTACAACAACCAGAGGAGGATGAACTGACCCTAAAACATTTCATGAAAGCTATCTACATTTGCCAAACTGCCCTTATCACGTAGATAGATTCAGTCAAAGTGGACCTATCGTTTTGCAAACATGATATGCAAAAAAGTCAACGTCAGGCTGACTGTGGCCAAACAATGCATCAGTGATGCGGAAGACGCAGTGGATCCATTGCATAGAGATGTTTGCTCCCTACAACAGTGTGCTACTGATCACTCTGTTAATATGAATGATCTTGAAGACTATGCCGTAACAATTTACGCTTTATTGGTTTCCAGAGGGATCGGAAGGCAAGGATCCTGCTTTATGGAGACCTGGCTTAAATCTGCTATGCTAACAGATACTCTTTCTGCTCTCTCTTCGCCATTGAAGGGCACACCACGTACTACTGCACCCATTGCCTTCTGGGACGCCTCCAAGACCCATGCTTGTCAAACTCCTACACGTAAGGGATAAGGAAAGATTCTGTGGGCAGCTAGTACCCTGGCACTGTGACGTATAATGGGAACAACATTTCTATTTTCCCAGATTTCTCTGCTGCCACGCAGAAACAGTGGGCTGCCTACACTGTGGTTAAGAAAAGGCTGCGCGATAAGAATTTGGCTTACAGTATGCTTTATCCAGCTAAAGTGCACGTTGTTCATGGAATCAAAGTGCAATTTTGCACTTCACCTCGAAATGCCTTGCGTGGCTGGATGACCTTCTTTGAAACCTGTTTTCCATGGCTGGAGTTTGTACAAGGTGGTATCAAAACGTTTCAAGACTAGTTTTGTAACATGCCAAAAATGGCAGCACAAGGCTGAAGAACAGTTACAGGGAGCACCGGCCTTCATAAGTAAGTGTGCCAAAAGACATCGTCCTGTGTACATCAAGAGCTGTGCAACTGGTGCTATTCTGACCACATGCATTACCACATCTATTTCATCATGGACAGCAAGTTAGAACAAAGAGCAAACTTGAAATTCTGAGTGGAACTAGGCAACTTGCTGGATTTCTGCAATGTTGTCAAAACAGCGACCTTTGAGCCGGATCTTCATCTTCGGGAAGAGGGCATTTTTGGGGGTTGAGCTCGTTGAAGGTCTTCCTAATCTCTCATCCTCTTCTCTCATCGTCTTCCAGTGATGTTCTTCCACTCTTGAAGAGCACGTGCCACTCAATATACCTCAAACGACTCATTGCAGCATCACTGTAAACTTGTCAAATTATGTCAAATGGCAGATTTGTCCAGTTTCACGCAGAATTTCATGTTTCTAACTTGCTGTCCATGATGAAATAACAGACGTGGTAACGCACGTGATCAAAATAGTACCAGTTGCACAGCTCCCAATGTACACAGGACGATGTCTTGTTGCACACTGACTTATAAAGGTTGGTGCTTCCTGACTATGCATGCAGCCTTGAGCTGCCATCTGTTAGTGTGTTACAAAACTAGTCTCAAAACTTTTGATACCACCTCGTAGGAAGTTTGCCCTTAAAAGAAAAGTATGGCCAAAGCTTTTTTGGCCATATTTCTATTGTCACAGAAGTGCACTTACTTTTGCTCTCTTGTGTCCCAGAATCAGACGACTGAGGACTAAGTTCCACTGTCGGCTAATGTCACAGAGCCCCCTTCAGGCTCTTGAAGGGTGGCAGCGAACAGCTGCAGCATCACACCAATGCTGCAGCATGGAGGTGAATATGTTTGTTTTTTTTAATTAACCCATACGTTTCCTTCAACAGCTTCCCCGCCGCCCTATAGCACAAATACTGCTATAGGATGGCAGGGCTGTGCAAAATCACATGTGTATATATATATAATTTTCTATTTACCCGCCCCGCCATTGGTGGCTACAGCTGTCAATCACTGGGTCCCAGCTGGAGATTCCCCTCCGGCACCCGTTGATCGCCAAATATCACTGGCGGGAGAGAGTTCTGTATGTAAACAATACAGATCTCTCCTCTGTCAGCTTCAGCATGCTGCTTTGTATTGCTCTGCATAACAGAGCAATACAATACAGCCTGCCTCCCTAGTAAAACACACACACAGCACACAGTAAAACACACACAGCACACAGTTAACCCTTTGATCATCCCAGATGTTAACCCCTTCCTGCCCAGTTTCATTAGTATGGTGTCAGTGCTTTTTATTAGCACTGATCACTGTATTAGTGTCACTGGAGATGTCAGTGACAGTTAGTCAGTCCCCCCCCCCCCAGTGTCAGAATGAGTGCCGCAGTCCTGCAGTCCCACCATAAGTCGCTCATTGCCACCATTACTAGTATAAAGAAAATGTTTTTTTAAAAATTCCAGTATATATACTGCCATTTGTAGACACTATAACTTTCATGTAAACCAATTAATTTACATGTATTGGGATTTTGTTTTTAGCAAAGACATGTAGCAGAATACATTTTGGCCTAAATCTATAATGACATTTGATTTTTAAAATTTTTTTACTGGATATGTTTTGAAGCAAAAAGTAAAAAAATATTTGTTTTTGTTTTTCAAAGTTGTCGAACTTTTTTGTTTATAGCGCAAAAAATAAAAATGCAGAGGTGATCAAATACCACCAAAAGAAAGCTGAATTTGTGGGGGGAAAGGACATAAATTTAATTTGGGTGCAGCGTTGCATGACTGCGCAATTGTCAGTTAAAGTAACATAGCACCGTAATGCAAAAAATGGCCTAGTCAGGAAGGGGGAGGGGGTAAATCCTCTGGAGGGCAAGTGGTTAAAGTGTTTTAAAAAGTCCTTTTTGTTTTGAACAGCATAAACAAAGGTTAGAACCTTCATTTCTGTCCCTAAACCTGCTAAGAAGATTCACCCTCTCTCTCCATTCTGATGACCACTGTCATTGGGCCTGAAAGTGTGTGAAAATATTTGATTTGTTACTAATTCCAAACAGAGAGGTGATCTATCATCCAGTGGGAACACTTGTTCTGGTGACATCTGTCTAAGAGAGGATTTCTGTTACTTTTGAGAGGTCTCTCACTAACTGAAGGATAAATGCCCCAATGCATTTATTTGGGTTTAGACATACTTTAATTAAGTGGAAGTTCCTGGTCGAAGTCAAACATTGAAGGAGACTCCAATGGGCAAATAAAGTAGCAAATGGATGGTCTCAATATTGGCAGAAGAGGGGATGGCTATCCAAAACACCTGTTACTTTCTCCTGAATGGGCAAGTACAGGTTCTATTTTAACTAGGTAACCTTTCTTAGCATTGCAATAATGTTTTATTATATTTCTTCAATCCATAGGAAACTCAGGAGTATAAAGAGAGACAGTGAGGGGGATATTGACTTTCTGTCCAGGATTAAGTGCTCATGGATGAAGATAGGGGGATGGCAAGCTGACACATATTTTTATATCTTGCCAGTTATTAATGTCTCTTTCATTGATGCACTGCCTCACACTTATGATAACTTTCATTTGCCAGAAAAGAGAAAACATTTTGCAAATGAGGGGACAAGCTGCTCGGGGCTTGTCTCAATAGTGCAGCCATAAATAATTAATGGCAGCATAGTGACAGTTACCAGCATAGGCTTCATGGGGAAGGCAATACACCACTTATATAAGGATCCTTTTAGTCTCAACAGTGTAATTGATTTCTAGCAAGGGTCATGAATTATGCACAGCTGTAAAGTGACAACTGCTAGAATTTCTTATTACTCCAAAATGTAATACAACTACCGCATAATAGGAATATATAATCAGAGTGAATTTACCATGAGGAGCCACAGAGGTAACTAGTATCCTGTATTATTCTGTTGGTAACCAAACTTGCTACTGTTTATAAAAAGCAGCCCAAGGCAATCAATCATTTAACTCGGATTGTAATCTAGTAAATGTTTCATGTTATCCATTGAAGCCAGATGTATCACGTTTTTCCTTTTACTGTTTCATTGTATCTTGTTTTAAAGTACACAGCATGCATCCATATAACTATGTGTGATGTAAGCAATGGTGATAAAAAAGCACTTGTGTTAACCATGCACATTTCATAAATTGCATAATAAAGTTTATCAACAATAAATTTTGCCATATGTTTGCATTGCCTCATTCTTCTTTTTTGAATGATATGATTAATATAATCAAGAGTTATAAAAAGTACCATGGAGGCACATATTCAATGGTGTATGAAAATCTCCTTACATAACGTTGAACATTCTAAAAAGGAAAGGTAAGGGATGGGGGGGGGGGGGCATCAAGTAGCATAAGGTGTACAATGAGATAAGAATAGGGAAAGAGAATAGGAAATAGGGAAATGATGAGAGAAAAGGAGGAAAGGAAAGGATTGGTGATTGGTCTCTCTTGCACCCTACTAAGTGGTTAGAAACATCGTCTTAATTTCCCTCTTGATTAAAGTAGTAATAGTAATCTCATCTTAAAGAATGAAACAATCTATAGTTTTCCAGGATTCCCAAATTGAATCACATAGGTTAATGGTGGTGTTAAACTGGGCTATTATTCGATGTTTTGTACCTCATTGATAAAAATATAAAGGTTAGATTTAGAGGGGGTGTTGGCTTTATCCATTGTAAGACAATTAGGTAGTGTGTGGCTGTTATCATATGAGCAAAAGTCCTCTTAGACAATTGGGTAATTGTGGTAATGGAAGCCCAAGAAGCTAGGACAGGAGGGTTTGTGGTAGAATGTGTATATTTATTTGCTTTAGTAATTATTGGACTATCTTCCAGTATGATTGTATTTTTTGGACACAGCCAGTGGTTGACTTGACAATGTCAGCAGTTTGTTGTAGTGCTACTCTGTTGAGAGCCGCTGGCTTTGGGTCCCCCTTTACTTCCAACACGCATTTTCCACTTGCATCCAGAAACAAGAAACAGTCCATTGGTTTGGGGTTTTAGTTTATTAGGGAATTTAACATGGATAGGGTAAAAGGGGTTATGTGATGCCCAACTTGATTGCAGAATAACAACCGAGGACAACTTCATTCTCTAGAAAGTACTACAAAAATGGCAGCTGTATGACTGTGGTCCAGCCGGAGCCCCGATAGTCTCTTTAGCAAAGCACAGCAACTTGTAGGAGCTCTGAGTCCCCTTTAATGGATTTTAGCAAAATTCCAACCTGTAGGAGCTCTACGTTCCTTAAGCATTCAAAATACCAGCCCACCTGGCTATGGTATCTGATCCCAGGACAGAGGATTGGGTAAACTATGAACTGTCTCCTGAAGACTTGCCAGAACTTGCATCCAGCAGCCTTTTCCATTCTAGGCCTTGGGGGTGTAGAGGTGCTCACACTGTCCTTGTCCTGCTGCTGTGGACAGAACTGCTTTCAGGCCTTTGTAGCTGGGCTGGTTCCTCTCCAAGCTTTGCAGGCTGTCCTTCCCTGGTAGACTGCAGAGTAGTGGAGCTCCCTCTTTCAGCACTCCTTCAGCTTCCAGCCTCCAGCTTTGAAGCAGAACCCCCCTCCTCCAGTGCTCCCTCCCAGGCTACACAACAACACCTGTCAGTAATTCATCTTCCACCCATTCCCCTGCTGGCTAGGTTCTGTTATATTTATGGGCTGGTCTGCCACACTGCCAGGCCTCCTGACTTGGATTGGTCAGACATTCATAAATATGCAGATCACCTCCTCACCTCCCACTACTGACTTCTAGAAGCTTCTCCAAGTTTCTAGAGCAGAGGGAGGTACCATAGTATTGACCTGTAGAACCCTCCAGCCCTGACCTGAAGTAACCCTCTGACTAAACCCAGGCTTCTAGCCAGCCTTTAACTATTCTGAACAACTATGTACACCAGAGGGCACTACACAGGGTTAATGGAGTGTAAAAACTCTGGAGTGTGATACCAACAGTATAGTGTTCTATTGATTTTTCTATTATGTATACTGACATGGCCCCTGGCCATGTTGGATTGTGACTGGGTGGTTGGGTTGTGGAAAAACGACCTATTTTTACCAACTTTTGTGAACCCATGTAAACAAAGGCCTTAGACCATTATCTCCGCAGTTTAAAAGAGAAGTTTGTAGTGTAGAAGTTTGCACAACAGCTCAGCCGTTAGGGCTTGTTCACATTTGCACTGCCCTCTGAAAACTATTTTGCGATGCGTAGCTTTTCAGAGGACAGGATGGTTTGCGGCTTGGCCTCATTCACTTGAATTGGTTGTATTTGGTGTTCCTGTTGCAAGTAAATGAATAACTCTCCCAGTAATGCGATTATTAGACTGCAGCTAGAGGAAGCTCTAATGATTTGTAGTGTGACTTCAGGAGACTAATACCAACCAGCTCAAAATGTACGTTTTCTGTTCTCCTCATTAATACAGGTTAATCACGCTTGGTTTATGCTAGCTTTGTTCAGTTTCGTGTTTGTTTTGACATTCACTTTCTCTGTTTAGTATCCAATATGTTAGTAATGGTAACTCTTTAACACAAATTCATGCGATTTTCCATGTGGCCTGCTCTGCCACTATAAAGAAAGCAATTACCTGTATAATGGTGGGCCATTTCTATTTAACACAGTAAACTTGGAATGCAAGTGAGCAACACGTGTTTTCTGTTCTCCTCATTGATACATATATTACAGGATGCATCTTTGTCATACCTTGCACTCAGATCACTGATAATCACAGCGCTGAGCAAACCCTTTGGCGCTATATAAATACTGTATAATAATAATCATGTAACATTTGGTGGCACGTCTGAGATTGGTGCACTCATAGTGCCACAGGTTACAGAGAATGAAAGCAGCAATTGCAGTAAAGTGACAGACTTCAGGGAGTCTGAACAAAACACAAAATGGCTGGTCCAACATCAGTAAAGAAGCTGCAATGGCACATTCAAAAGTTATTATACGTATTGTCTGAGAGTCATCTATACTCACTGGCTAATTTGATGCAGGAAAAAGAGGGTAAAGCGGTTCCTTATGCCACAAAATCAAGTGAGGTGGAGATCTGTGAGTACATCATGAGTACATGTGCAGGGAGAAGAAGTATGCAATGCAGAGGGCAGTGGTAAGGCATACCTTCTACAGGTGAAAGAACAGGTTTTGTCTTTGATAAGTGAAAGAAGCTATTGAAATCCTAAGGCAAGGCAAGAGATTGTGGACCTTCTCTCAGAGAGGACAGACCATCACAAATGACAGAAGGTGGACTCACATTAAGGGACATAGCATACCTGCCAAGAAAGGAGCTTAAAATGTATGGTGGGCAAATGTCAGACTGTGACTCTGAATTTATGTAGAGCAATATCTGAAAACAGATAGATGGAAGGTGTGAAAGAAAAATACTCAGGTCACAAATCATCAGA